TACTGCAGAACGTCGATTTTACACAGATGTAGCCACATGGGGCAACGACGCTGCAAGACCCTCCTGCCCTCACAAATAAAAGAGTGAAACAAAAAGACTCACTAATCAGTATCGATAAAATCAATTGTCTTCGCGCTGGAACGTCGAAGCGCATCGCGTTCGCCAGCTGCATTTCTACGCCGTCGATTTGAGCTGTGTGGTGGTTCGTGCATAAATAATCCGGAGAAACTAAAGTATCGGATCACAATCAATTAGACTAACTAACTTATTAATACAGTTAAAAAAGAGACATAAAGTGAAGGGGATTTAAAATTCAGAAGTTTGCTCAACCAAAAAGTGAATCCAGTGATGCGCCAGAAAACAACGTAATTAGCGGTACTGACTTAATAGGGCACAAAATTAGTAAGAATGAACATATTACTAAAGCGTTCCACTGAATGATGATTTCCATCAAGTTTTCAGTTAAGTTTTATGAAAATCTCTGTCCTGAAGCTCCTGTTTAATTCCTTTTGCAACAACTACTCGCAATAACACAAAACTGATTAGGCCGCGTGTCCGTCCGGAGGCAGCACTCGCCGTATTTTTCCATTAATTGGCACAATGGCATAAATCAAGCTATCTATCCCACTTCCTGCATCACTGTAGACTGAAAGCATCGCGATAGTCAAAATCTCCCTTTTCCTTGCATTCGTTCTGCGACCAGGCTCGTTGTGAGTCAATTGGGATGATCTGCTGTGCGGTCTCTTTAGATCGGTAGAATCTTCCAGATGATCAACAATGGACATAGTGAAAGCCTTGCCAAGGAACGATCCCTGCCATCAAGCTGCTCACAAACCAAGACGAGCTACAGAATCTGAATTGTGCGGCAGAACTTGATTAGTTTGGAAATCCATGCGTTACTTGAGAATGTCCAATTGCACACTGACTTTCCTCATTGTTGCCTGTCATCATTCCTTTCTCTAGTAGAGACTCTTTGCAGTGTGCCTGGCGAGCCCGCTCTCCCGCTATGAAAAAAGCTGAACTTTGATAGCGTTAAACAGTAAATCCACTGATCAGAATTTCCCTTTTGCAGTAGAGGACGAAGAATCTGTTCACTGGGCTATTAGCATCGACATCGAAACTCATGCAACAGTGTATGGATGTACAAACGTGTGTTTTTTTTTAAACTAACAATTCCCAGATTCCACTGCTCTTTTTAGCGTTGATAGCACTCATACGCTTTGCACGCTGCATTTCTGTCCACTTCACGGCCTCTTGCAGTTCCATCAACTTCTCCTTGTACTGATTGCGTTCCATCAAAACACGAGCCATTTCCACGCGCGTGAAACGTTTTCTCTGTGCCATCGGCACATCTTCCTGAAGGTGTAAACAGCTTAATGCGCTGGAACTTCGAGCTGACAATGTCTAAGTTATATCAATTACATAGGTCCTCCAGACTAACTGTATCGACGAACTTGCTATTTGATAACAAAACATGTAGGCATCCTTTCTTTCGGATCAAGTTTTCTGGTGCAAAAAGCACGCTTGTGCATATTTCTAGCATGGGATTATGCGGGTGTTCAATGCACTCACCTGGTCATCTTCGCCTCTCAATTCCAGCTTGTCTTTTAGGTCGCGAACTTCGGTCTCCAGCTCCTTTATCCGTTCACCCATTTTCGTTCTCACCATTTCCAAACTTCGAATTTCTTCACGCAATATATCCTGCTCACTAAATTCTATCAATCAGTTACGTGCTTTTCTGGGTCAAATAGATCACTTTCATATTAACGCTGCTTGAAAAACCCGTCCAAACGACCCAATGGGCGAAAATGTGGCATGGAGTGGCAATCTCACTCCTATAACGCAATATATCAAGACAGTAACAGTAGTAGAAATCATCGAATACACAGTGTTTCATTTGACATTCTTTTGAAAGCAATGTCAAAACGGAAGCTTGGCAAGCTGCAAAAATTCTGTACAATTCGAAAAGTTTAAAACGGATGCTCGAAGACCTTGTGTGAGCTAAAGAATTCAAATTCTGCCATCACCTGTATTTTAGCGAATATCTGTGCCGCGCGCCTGAACACGCCAAAGTTATTTGTAATGAACAGCAATTTTTCCTCTAACCACGCAAACTAAGGAGACAAATTTTGCAAGCACATTCAATGCCCATGCGCTATCTAAAGATTTTAAATTCCGCTTTAAAGCATGCCTAGGTCTCGCGTAAGTGAAAATGAAAATTTAGCTTGGAACATTATTGACATCCAATTAACCTGACAACTAGGCTAAGCAGGAAGCAGTTTTTTTGTGGAGATAGGCCAATAGAGTATGTGCCCTATGTACAGATGCACCAAATGTTCATACTGCAACATTACCGTTATCTTTCTCTTCAGGCAATTAGATAAGCATGAAAGCTGATATTTTATGAGAACAACGCCTATTCTGTACGACACTTCCATGCACACTAACATTCTTTGTATGGATATGACACAAAAACGCATGATCACACCAGTAACATTGGTGCGGATACTGGGTTTTTATAGATACACTACCCAGAGATCTGTTTTCGGTGTTCTAGTGCTCTGTTTCCTCTTTCTTTCATCATTTTCATGAAGACAAATGCTACATGTATTGTTCGCACATCCTGCGACCTTGCAGCTTTCCTACTACAGGATGCCCTCTGCAATCTCTCGCAAGCAGGCGTAAAATGCATGCGTGAAAAAAAGAAAATGCGCTTATCTTGAAACTAAAAAACAATATCTACCTGCTTAATTCATCCACGCGAGCGATCAAATCGTTTTTGACAATATTTAGGGCGTTTTTCGTCTCCAGCAATTCTGTGTTCTCTTTTATCAAATTCTCCACTTCTCGTCCCATTCCTGCAGTTCATCAGGCAAACTGACATACGAAACAAACTTTAAGAACACAGAAGCACAATGGCAAAACTAACACAGTACGCACAATCGTGCAGCAATTTCAGTCTCTAACAGTTAGCAAAAGCAGGAGGTGCATGTTTCGACATACCAGAAAGAGTACTATTCAAATTTTATATCTCAATGCCAAAAAAACGCTATTCTTTTACATTGCCCATCCACAAGAAGGCCCAAAGAAGTACAAATACATCAAACAGCAGTATGGAATCCATTTTGCTAAAATCAGCATCATTTCAACTGGATAAGTCCCGTTTTTTACTAAAATTTCCACTCTAAGCGCAAGGCCTTTGACATCTAAACTTTTCGCTTTTATCTCGTCTGGACTTTTTTCCCGCATCTCGTCTGGACTCTTTCCTCGCAATTTTGGTGGCGTAGATCTGTATGTTAATATACTTTCAAGCTGCTCAGGACGCATATATCATGTTGTTAGTTTATGACTTTCCCGAACTGTACGGAAAATTCTGCTTGTTCGCAACAACGACTGGATGAGAACGAACAGAACACTAGCAAAGCGAATTAATGTTATTGTTAGGTAAGAAGTGGGTAGCTTATAAAAAAGCGACCGTTTTTTGAAGTTCTGCACACTTGTTACGAAGAAGATTTGAGATCACACCGAAGACCAAACATAGAAGAACAACATGTCCGATCACAAAAACATGCGTTCTACCACTAGAGACGAAAAGTTCCGTTGTTTTTGAAATTACAAAAATTGGGAACAAAATTTGGCGATCCATAAACGGCCAGCCTACGGTGAGATCTGCCGCAAAAATAAGAAATATGCATTTTCTATTTGGTAGTGAAACTGCGAAACTTACTGAGTAATCATGGTGAACTAGCAGGCACCGCGCAGCAATGAGCAGCCTCGCTTTCATACTCAGAGCCGAAAATTAACCAACCGTAGGCGGACCCAGGGCGACATCCTGGGGGAGAGTGAGCGATTTTGCCAATTTTTCCTCCCTTCTCTCCCCTCCCGATCGTCGGTACGTTGAAAACTCTACTACCCCCCTCCACCCCTCTCCTGTTTGTCACTACATCGGAAGCCTCACTACCCCTTTCCCTCTCACCGACCGGCTCTAAACTGCAGTGACAGCTAGGGGGAGAGTGAGAGAGAAGGGAAATGAAAGTGGGGCCTCTGGAGGTGCCGAAGGTCGGTAGGTGGTGCCGAAGAGAAATTCCTACAGTAAAACAACTCCTATCAATGCCGCAGAGGGTGAAACACCCATTTCTCCTTCGCCCCTCCCTGAATCCGTCAAAGGAATCAACAAGTTTAGAATTTCCGCATTTTTTCGATAGTAAACAGGTGCTGGCATATGTTAGGAACTACCACCAGCTTGTTGCATCCAAGTAACACTCCAAAAAAGAGCCATCGAAAACCAGCGGGTGGTTTACTGTTGGCACATCCTGTTGCTACAACTCTTCAAAAGCTTATGCCTCTCCCACAAAACAAAATTAATTGTGAAGGAGTTAATTTTTATGTTTCTTGCAGCTATGCAATGCGGAAAACGGATATTGAGGAGAAGTTGTCTGTGTGTATGTGTGTATGTCTGTGTGTGCGCTGGGCCTTTGTACCGATTTTTCATCTAGAGACCTACAAAAGCTACAGAACTGAAACTTTGGGAACTTAATCTATATGCATGTACGAGCTCCCCACCCCAAAATAGGCGGTCTTACTCGCGTGGTACCCACTTGCGGGCCCGTAAAAGTTTTTTTCGAGTAAGTTAATAGCTCAGGAATCTGAAAAGCTAAAAGACTGGAATTTTGAAGGGATATTTCCTGACAGTCCTGGCAGCCAGTCTGAAATTCTTTCAACTAGAAGCATTTGTTGGACAGTGCCGACAGTGACAAATATCCGCTGGAAATTATGCAAAAAACGCATCTTCGCATGGGCAGCCCGTGCGTTGGCCAATTATTTCTTTAGTTATGAGGAACAAGAATTATTAAAACCTTTT